AAACAGCCTCAGAGGCTGCGCTCAGAGGGACTCCCCCTCCTCACTTCTGTGCTCTCCCCCCCCCCCCCCCCCCAGAGCTACATCTCCCAGCAGACAGGGCTGATGCTCGCTGCTGGTTGCTCACCCTTCCAGAAGAGGAACTACACAGTTAAGACAAAAAATCCCTTTTTACCCCCATAGAGCATTTTACTAAAAGAGAGCTGCAGCCACACTTCACATGAAAGTTGCAGGGCACATGTTACCTGACCGGGTATTCGGAGCAGCTGCTGACCTTACCTGCCTTCAGCTGTGCTGCCAGAGATCTCCTGCGTGAAGCATCTACCACCTCTGTCTGGAGGACAATTGCAGTCATCTGCTTTTTCAAACGCATTGCTTCTGCATCTGGTTAAAAAAAATAATAAATGTCTGTCAACTATTTCTTCAAAAAATATTTCTTATATCTGCAGCTCAGAAATGCAGCTTTACCTTGGCAGGAGATGGCTTCCTTACCACCCCAGCGCTGCAAAGATCCACCCAAATTTGCCAACTTACAAGGCTTCGGAAGAACTCTACTCAGCAGTTATCTCCTTTAGGAGCTTGCTGCAGGCATGAATCAGAGTTGCACAGCAAAGGGGCTGTTGCGTGAGGAAGTTGTATTTCAACGGCAGTGGGAACTGGCAGACACACAGTCAATAGGGCAGGAAACAGCAAAACATTTTGGAGCCAAGCCAACGCACCACAAGGCTGAAAGATTCCCACTCTCCTCACCACCGAATCCCTCTAGAGAGTCAGTAAATTGCTTGGCCTGTGCTTTTCACAAGTGCTCTGAGCTCCTCAGGTTTTTTCCAGGTACTGAAAAATGGGATTTGCAGAAGCCTCGAGCATCCTTGGCTGCTGTGCAAAGCTGTGCCCTGCTCACCTGCAGTTCTGCGTGAGCAGTGCATTGAAAAAGCAGCATCTGCTGCCGTTGCAGCAGGCTCTGGGAAAGCTCCCCTGGCTTGCAAGCAAGCTGTGGTCCGGCCACCCACGGGCACGCAGGGAGCCCCAGATAAAGCCTCAGGGGAAACTAATGCTCACGCTGGCAGAGCAAGACTTGAGCGGTGCATGGGTGGTGAAGGATGGAGAGCAGCACAGAAGGCTTCTTGTCACTGCAGCAGGCTGATGGTCCCCAGCCCCGCAGGTAGATCACCTGGCCTTAGGTTGCTCCCTCTTCCTCAGAGAGAGCTGGGGGTTTGCCTAAAATAAAAGGAAAACGGTAACTCGTGATCATAAGCTAACACACACCCATAGAGAGGCCAAACTGCAATTGCCCAGGTAACCTTGGTGGAACTGATTAATAATTGCTGGAGTTTAATTGACAATTAATTGGAGCCAATTCACAATTAAATATTTAACTTTGCACCTTTGGTGTCTCTAATTTTTTTTTTTTTTAATATTTTTTTCTCCTGCATATGCCTACATAAATAGGGATTACTTTCCTACCAGAGCTTGAGTGTTGACATGCTTATAACAACCAGCTTCCGCTTGTGCGTGCCCGGGAAGGCTCCCTGGCTCTGCAGGTGTTTCCTAGCGTGGCTGCCAGTTTTGCATCCCCACTGCTCAACTCCGTGCTCTTACCCCCACAAAATCTCTCTCGTGCTTTTCTCAACATTGGGTAAATCTCAGCAGCACTTACAAATAGGTTCCTGGGGTTTTGTTCCGCTTGCACAAGACCTGTAATTTGCCCATAGCGAGCAGCACATTACGGACTACTAAGTGCAAGCACGTTGACTGCGGGACAGGCATTTTTTGTGGGCACAGGTGTAAAAAGCACCCACTTGACACCCGCCACCTCGCAGCTTCATCCAGCCATCCCTGGGTGCTGCTGCTTCTGCAACAGGTTTCTAAAAACTGACGAGTCAAAGGCATCTGCTTTCCTGCTGCTGGAGACGACGGCGGGATGCCATCGCAGGGCAGCAGGAGCCCCTGCTGCTACGCACAGCGCGAGAGCTACAGTAGAAGAACGTATCCAGCCTCACACTGCTCTGCCACCCACGCACTGAAGGTGCTGCTCCTTGCAGGGGAACTCCAGCAGCAGGTGGAATGGGAATAAAGATCAAGAGATGGCCAGCGCGTACATACAGAACAAGGGGTTTTTGTTTTCTGTTACAGTTTGTTGGAGTACTTTGTACCAAAAAAATTACTTAAACTCTTGTTTAAGTTGTCTCTCAGGGGAAAGAAAGGGACTTCCAGCTCCCTGGGACAAGAAATTGCATGCTTCCAGTGTGCTGTGCTTTGGGAAGAAGACACAATGACTCTCCAGGCACATTATCCCCGTGTGAGATGGTTAGTACAGGTCGTGTTCTCATCCCTGCTGCTACCACAACAGAAATCATTACAGAGGTGTAAAAACAGGAGCTACGCACACACCCCCTACACGGCCAGTGCTGGCAAGGTGCCTGCTGCTTCTGATGAAGTTTCAGTGATTGAATACAAGTGATTCAAGGGAAGTGAGAGCTCGGGGAGAGGGATACGATAGTCTTTCAGTTTTCTTGATCATATATTTGCTACTCACGTCCCTAATCATCCCCTTACATCAAAAAATCCACCTGGGAAGGAGGAACACCTAAAGCTTTAGCAGTCCTGGTGGTGAAGCTTTAACAGAGATCTTTTCTACTTGACTTCAGAGTTGACAAGGCTTAACCAGGTAACCCCCACTGCTAACACACACGATATCCATTTGCTCAATCTCCAGTGTTTTTTGATACGACAGAACATCATCACTTGTCCCACCAACACAGAGCAGTGGGTGAGACTTGACTACCCAGAGTTTAAAAAAGTGAAACTGTAAAGATTTCTTTTACATAAATACTCTGGTCTTCATTGCCTTAAACGTGTCCTCAAGCTTTTTTCCTGCCCCTGCTTGCATTACTTCTTGCGAGATACCCGCCTGCTCCGCCAGCAGCTGGCCAAGGGTAGGATGAGGCTGATGAGCAGCTCCTTTTCCTCCACAGGACCAATGCCATCCTCTCCCTCTTGGCTGCTAGGGCACACTGCTGGGATGGGCCAGCACCAGCTGCTCAGGGAATATCTCTTCCCAGCACTGAAAGAATTACTGAGGGCTCTCCATGACGCAACCCTGCGAGCAATGCAGGCAGCCTCATGCACAGCAGAAAAAGAGAAGGAATGACAGCCTTTTGCAAGAAATTCATCTTTATTGAAGCAACCATGACTCACATGAGCTGCCAGCTGGCCTGAGGATTAACAATAGCAGTGGCCTGGACAATAGGAGCTGGAGCTCACAAGGGACATTGTGTCTCTCTTGAGAGCGATATGCTTAAGAATACCCATATACATATAAAGTTTCTTTCCCCACTACTAGAAAGTGGGTATGTTGGCAAGTGCACATCACCACTAACTCCCTGCTAGACCGAGGCCTGTTGGTGACTGCCAGGAGGTAGCTTGACTCCGGAGCAGCTGGAACTTGATCCTGCTTCTAGTGAAGCCAATGGTGAAGTTCCACCAGTTCCCTGGGGATGGGCTGAGGAGGGATAGCCCTTTCCCACCCCCTCAGTGCAATTCTTTCCAAAGCAAGATAGTTGCAGCCCTGTTAAAATGCTAACCAGGTGCTGCAGACTGTACTGCTGTTCTTGTATGTGTAGCAGCTCCAGCCTGAGGGCCAGGACCTGTCCTGAACATCAGCGTGAGGGTTTCCACGTTTATCTCAATAAACAATTGCTACTTACTGTTTTTCATGGTTAAAAGCCACAGCAAAGGAGGGGGGGGGGGTGAAAGCTGTTGTTGGTTCAACAGCCATTTCCCATAGCCCTATAGCTTACAGCAGGTTTTCCAGCAGGTGCTAGATCTGTTGCAACGATGGGTTTCAGCCTAGAAGCAGCTCTGCCTCCTTGCAACAAGGGCAAAGCACACCAGGGAGCCACTGTTTGAGCTAGAGTGAGAGCAGAATTCTTCAGCTGATTGAGGCTTTTAAAATTTCTCTTTATTATCAATAAGGTGATGTAAAGAGGACGTGGAGTTGGGACACTGTATTGTTTGACCTGGCTAGAGATCAGTCCTGTTCTCTTATAGATTTGAACTTCAGTCCTGCGTGTATGTGTAATATCAAAGTGCTTTTGTAGTGCACAACGGCACAGTGGGTTAGCGAAGCTAGATAAACACAGTGCTAAGGCTGGAAGTTGAACAAGCCCCTGTGAAATCAGTGTGGCATCAAGCTCCAGGAGGTTGACTAAATCCTAAGAATTAAAAAATAATGGTGTATTGCATTAGCACAGAGGAATAAGAGGGATATGTCTTTATCTTGGTCATCTGCTTCAAAGCTCATGCCCT